AAAGAAGAGAGTTCTCGGGGTTTTCTTGATTTTTGGAGACCTGTGCCCTGCAGGTCACAAGAGATGTCCTAACCAGGGTCTCTCAACTTCTTGAACCTGGATGCTTCATTCCTGCTTAGAAGAATCACCCTTCGAATAAAAAGGCCTCTATCGCTTCTCGGCCTTTTGGCTAAGATCAAGTGCGAAAAAAAAGGCCTCTGCCAAATTTGCAAAGCCGCTACCCTCTGTCCCCTAGTTTTCCTGCTCATGCCATGGATTTCTTGATGGTTCTTCTCTGTCCCATTGCTGCTGCCTCTACCCAAGTCATCACTATCCTTCACCCAGATGTTCCCCCTGACGGGTCTTTTATTCTCTGCGTCACCACTGCCTTACCCATTTCCCACATTGCCGGTACCACTGTGTTTCTAAAATGCACATCTGTTAAAGTCATTCCCTCCCTGGAAACCTCCATGACTTCCTGCTGCCACACCTAATTCTCCAGGGTGTTTGGGGACCTGGTAGTTGTGGGTGGGGAGGATCCATCCATCCCAAGAGATGTAAGAGGTTCTGTGTGAACCCCAGTACCCTGGTGGTCTCATCAGGAAAGCTGGCTCACTGAAGCTGTGGCTGCTGATACCCTCTGCCTGTACTCTCTCCTGCTGTGCAGCCTTGTGTGGAATGGGAGTAGAGTTACAGTGAAGAGCCTGAATCTCCCCACCCACCCTCACAGCGACAGGCTGAGGCTGGCTGACTTATTGATTGCTGAGCAGGAGCATAGCAGGTGAGGAGGAGGCCCAGGGACCAGACCAGTTACAGGGCCAGGTCTCCAGAGGCCCCAGTTCCTGGCTATGGAGGGTGGTCCATGGGGTGTGGAGCACCAGCTCCTATCAGCCTCAGTATTTCCTCATTGTTGGAACTGGTTGACTTGACATCCAAAGGCTGCCAAGAAAGGGAAAGAGGAATTATTGATGAAGTCTGAGCGGTGGGGATTGTGTTGGTGAGGGGCTCAAGTCTGTGAACTCTCCCATAACCCTTCTCTTGGATGGCCCAACCTTTAGGCCCATCTGGTTTTCCTACCTCTGCCCCTGAGGCTTGCCTTAGTGAGACAGGGTCTCACTGTGCATTTCAGGCTGGCCTTGAGCTCACTTTGTAGCCCAGACTGGTCTCGAACTTGCAGTGATCCTCCTGCCTCAGCCTCCCAAGTGTTGGGATTACAGGCGTGCACTACTACACCCGGCTCGATGTCCTGTTTTCATAGAGCATGGCTGGGCATGAGATACATGTCTGAGAACCACATCTCCAACATTGAGGACATGCCTGTCTGTCTGACTTTGTTAGGTTCCCTCTGGCTGCAAATTTTGGTCCTTCAGCTTCTGCTGAGACAGCCTGCAGTGGATCCAGGCTCATTGAGTTCTTACCTGAATAGGCCACTCAGCTGCTGTAGGAGGTGTCCTAAGAGAGGCCAGTGCTTCCGTTTAGAGAAATCAACCTAAAGCCCCAAGGGATTTGGCAGGACACATAGGCATAGTATGGGTTTTGATGTGAGACTGAATGGGGTATGTAACATTGGGCAAGTTTCTGACATTTCCTTAATGTTAAGTACTTCATTTCTAGAGTGAGTATATAAGGATGCATTTCCAGCAGGTGATGGTTAGAGTCTAAGATGATTGGTACAACATAGGCAGAATGTCTTGCTCGATATCTCCCAGCAACATTTTCATTGTTATACTGATTTTCCTAAGACCTCAGAATCTGGTCAGTGAGAGAAGCCATAGATTCCACCAATAGAGACTACTACATCTCCAACCCATGCTCTTTTCTTAGAAAAATTTTGTTTACAATGGACTCAAAGGGCCTAGAAGAAAGGATAACACCTATGTTTTCATGATGTGCTACTGCTCCCCACCCTTTCTGAAGCTTCATTTTTTTGCAGCAAGCTGCGGCATCCCCACCTGCTACAACTGATGGCTGTGTGTCTATCCCAGGATCTGGAGAAGACCCAACTTGTATATGAGCGCATCACCGTTGGCACACTGTTTAGTGTCCTCCATGAACGAGTAATCAGCCATTCTATGGATCCTTCCTTCCTTGCTACCCTTACCACTTTTCCCTGCCCTGTCTCCTCTGCACCAGCCCAAGGGGTCCCATAGCGAATGTGTGGAAGATAAATCTGTAAATCTTTTTTTGTTATGGGGCTGTGTGATATGCCACTTAATGCTGATATGCACATGGTCAGAAGTAATGTGATATTATTATTGGCAGTCCTGCTTTTTTGTCAGCTAAGAGCTCACCTGGCCCAGAAACACATGGAACCTATTTCTAGCTCACTAAGCCATTGCCCACTGTCTTTATTTTCCTTCTTTTCTATCAGGGACCTGAGCGACATTCCCAACTGCCTGTATAAGGGGTATGGTGAAAGGATGACATAAGAAACAGAGACAAATTTAATAATGTGTGAAGAGGGGCTGGGAGGTCAGGGCCGCAAGATGGACAGAGACAAAGACACGCCACGTCAGCCACTATTTGTTGGGTGTATACTATGATAGGAGGGGTTATGGGAAGATTCAGTGACAAAACAGATAATCTTGAGATGACTATAAGAGGGTGAGATGATTTTATGCTAAGAAGGATCTTGCCCTGGAGTGTTTTTTAATATTAGTGGTTTTAGTTTAGTCTTAGTGGGTTGGAAATGATGACCCATTCCCTAAAGAGTTAGATCCCTTAGGGAAGTATGCAAAATCAGCCATTGTGAATTTGTGCTCCCCAACACTTCCATTTGTGCTCTGTCCTGGCTGGTTTATTCGTCCCTTGTAATCCTTCAAATTTCCTTTTGGCAAAGAAATACCTTCCATGGCTAACAGGTTCCCAGCAAATCCATGTGTCCTCAGAGAGCTCCTAGAGGATGTTTCTTTCTCTATGACTTTATTCTAAAGACCCTGGGAGTGAAGAGAGACCCTCTAGGAAGACTCTTCTCCCAGATGGTTTTCCTTCCCTCCTTCCTGATGACTTCACTAGCACTCTGCTTTTGCTTTTTTTCCCTGGCTGGCATTAGTGCCTTAAAATGACATTTCCCTAGAGAAGAGACATGAGCTGGGTACATCAGTATGAGTGAATTTCTATCTTCTTAGGATCGTCTTTCTAGTTCTTCTGGCTGCAGTGGGGCTGGATTGGTCATCTGCATCCTGTCGGGTCCTTAGAGGACAGGTTTACCACTGGTTGTGGGGCACATTCCCTGGTAATTTCCCCTAGGCTGATCCCTGATGCTCAGAGCAGGTACAGTATAAAGCAGTTCAGCCAAAGGAAAGGAGCACAGGTTTGGGTAGGGAGACAAATCAATGGGATTTTATTTATTTATTTATTCTTTTTCTGAGACAGGGTCTCACTATACAGTTCAGGCTGGCCTTGAGCTCACTTTGGAGCCAGGCCAGCCTCAAACTCAGAACAATCTTCCTGCCTCTGCCTCCTGAGTGCTGGGATTACAGGTGTGTGCCACCACTGCTGACTGTCAGTGGGACTTTAGCATGGTGACACCCAGCTTTAAGTTACTTGTCTGTAAAACAGGGACACTGTGTAGTTGTGAGATTGAAGGGAAAAGCATTTGGAAATGATACAGGCTTCTACAGTATCAGGGGGCTTTTCCCTGTGTTGCGTTCCTGGCACTTTCTCTCTCATTTGCAGCGGTCCCAGTTCCCTGTGCTGCACATGGAGGTGATGGTGCTCTTACTACTACAGATCGCTGATGCCCTGAGATACCTCCATTCCCGGGGGTTTGTTCACCGCTCCCTTAGCTCTTACGCTGTCCATATCGTGTCCGCAGGGGAAGCAAGGCTGACCAACCTGGAGTACATGTTAGAAAGGTGGGTGCAACCTTGAGTGTGGCGTCCTCCTGAAGGGATCTTCCTGTCCCTAGACAGAATCTAATCTGGGGAGGATGCCTTGTCACTGTTCAGTAAAAATGTCCATCAGTGGGGAAGAGATTCCTTGCCCTGTCTGCTAAGGCTGTGGAGACTTCAGGGAAGTTACCTCTGTTTGGTACATTCTCATTTTAATAAGCATGAACAAAAGCCCATAGTAGACAATGTGTGTCAAAGCTCTAACTTTCAGTTGCAGAATTTTCAGTGGCACTGCATAACTCAGGTGTATTTTTCCTATTGCAGTCCGGCTTATTGGAGGGACACTGTATTATGTGTTCCCCTGATCACTGGGCCTGCCATCTCCAAAGTCCTGCACAGTTCTTTACATTTTTGGCCAAAGAGGAAGAGAACGTGGATAAGTGGACAGTGGGGTTTTAGGCCAGCCTAGGGTGGACATGTCACAGCTGCCCATTTTGCAGTGGCAGAGCCCAATCTTATTGCAGGGATGCCATGAAGTGTGTCTTGCCTGTAGGAGAGAGAGAGTGACAGGTGCAGTCAGCCTCCTGTGTGTCACACCTTCTGGATATTAAGTGTTCCCAGCCCTCAAGAGGTGAGAGGCACTCAAAAATAGTGCCCTCATTCCAGGGATAGTTTCCTGCTGGACTGAAGTAAGAGGCCTCCTGAGAGCTGGGGGCTGACCCCCACTTCTTGCCAGACTCTGGGAGGCAGAGGTTTTCTTTTTTACATCACTACTACTATGCACAGCTCTGAGCTTTTGCTGAGAGGCCTTACCCACTGCACAGACTCCCTGAAACCACCTATCTGCTCCTACCTTAACCTTAACCCCATACCTGTCCCTGCTGCCTTGTTTCTGAGACTCAGCAGGTCTTGCACCTCACATGCTCTGTCACTCACTCCTTTCACTCACTGTGAAAGCAGAGATTTGCTTTATTCACTGCTGTGTTCCCGATACCTACACCAGCCCTTCACTCTGCTATACAAAGCGAATGGAACTGACAGGCTTACCTCTGCAGATCTTGAGCACTTTTTGTCCCGCTGCTTGGAGAGGAGGGCAGGGTTCAGATTGTGCTGGTCCTGTAGGCCTTAGTGAGGAATATGAGCTTTACACTGAGTCCCGTGGATGCTGGGAAGGGGCATTTTTTTTTTTTGTGAGACAGGGTCTCACTGTGTAATTCAGGCTGGATTTGAATTCCCTGCGTAGCCCAGGCTGGTCTCAAGCTCATGGTAATCCTCCTGCCTCAGCCTCCCGAGTGCTAGGATTATGGGCATGTGCTGCCACACCCAGCAGAAGGGACTTTTTGAGCATTTCATGGATATCATGTGGGTTAAGAAGGTTATTCTTGCTCCTTGCATGGAGAAAGCCTGTGAGGGAGAAAGAGATGGGCCAGGAAGAGGCGTTCCCAGAACAATAGCACTTTACTTTTTTTTTGAGACAGGGTCTCATTATATAGTTTATTCAGGCTATTCTTGAACTCACTAGGTAGCCCATGCCAGCCTTGAACTGGTAGTGATCTTCCTGCCTCAGCCTCCTGAGTGCTGGGATTACAGGTGTGCACCACGACTCCCTGTGGTCCCACTGTTGTGTGTGGGAACACACAGAAGCCAGACATTCTTACAGTCAAGCTGCTATGCCTCAGATCTGTCTATTCTCTATCTCAGTTAGACATTTCAGGGAAGGACTAAGGGGTGTATAGTTCAATGGTTGAACACTTTCCTAACGTGTGAGATCTTTGGTTTGATCCTTAGCACCTCAAAAAAATCTTGTGAGTACTGTGGTACGTGAACTCTTGAGAAACTGAGGCAGGAGAATTGCAAATTCAAGTCCAGCCTGGGCAGCTTAGTGAGACTGTGTTTCAAAATTTAAAAATGGACAAAAAAAGGCTGGCAATATAGTTTAGTGTGAAAAAAGGCTGGGAATGAGTTCAGTCCCCAGGACTAAGAAAAAAAAAATCTATCAGTGGTTCCTCATTGCCTTCAGAATTACCTCTAGGTATTTTTGCAGGATGTGGACACCTTCCCACATGAGACTCTCAGCTCACAGAACTGACCGCTTCCCTTCCATGTGCTGGTCATTTGAAGCATCCCTTACCTGATGCTGTGTCAGTGTTGCTTTCTGCATCTGGAATAAGTGCACATGCTTATGTCTCCTGCTTAAAGTCACTTCAGTCCCAGTCTAGCACATCCGTAAAAGATGTGCAGAAGTCCTCATGCCCTGAGGCACTTTTCATATTCCTCTCTCACACATTCCTGACATCCACTGCAGCCCTTGGTGCAAGTGTCAGCCCTGCTAGGCAACCACCTCCCAGGAAACAGGGACTGAGACTTGTTTACCACTATGTCTTCAGGAGTCCAGCATAGGGATAGGCACAAATAAGTGCTCAGTCAGTGTTTGTTGAATATTTGAATGCATCTAGGTGGAGGGACAACTTCAAATGGGAAGTTAACTACTTTGGCTGTTTGTTCCAGGTCAGTGGAAGCTACGTGGTATGTACTCATTATGCTGTTGTTTTCTCCCATAGAAATGTGGTTCTTACAGGAGGGAAATGGAGCTTTACAGCTGGCCTGGCCCAATTCTGTTTGCTTTGTTTTATTTGTTGTTTTTGTTGTTTGTATTTTGATTTTTTGGAGGTACTGGGAATCAAATACTGGGCCCTATACATGCTAGGCAAGTGTTCTGCCTGATGTATACCCTAGCCCGTAATTCTCCTTTTAGATGTGTAGATACAGAAGCAAGCCCAGAGACTTGGGAAGTTTTCCGTGTGATTGGTTAGAAGAATAGCTAGGGCTAGAGTCAGGTGGTAAAAGATCCCTCTGGGCCTCAGGGACAGGCTGGATTTAAGGTTGTGTATGGGAAGGTGATCTCTAGGAAGGTTAACTGCTTTGGCTATTTGCTCCAGATCAGTAGAAGCTAAGGGGTTTATACTTTCTGTGCTGTTGTTGTCAGTACCAGAGACTTCAAGAAAACTGACAGAATCCACGATAGTGGTCAGTGCTGGAGTGACATCTGTTGTTGAAAAGGAGGCATAACAGTTTCTTCTGCTTTTGCTCTCTCACCCCAGTTTGATTCCTAGAGTGAAATGGAGCTTTAGAGATGCCCCACCCACCTATCTTGAGCCCCAGGGCTCAAGCCCTGGGACCTATGCATGCTAAACAAGACTCTGCCCCCAAGATACACCCCTAGCCTATTCTTACCCTTTTATAGACAAGGAAGCCGGCCCAGAGGGCTAAGTTACCACCCATTTGGTTGGTTAGAGGCATAGGTGGGGCTAGAGCCAGGTGGTAAAAGATCTCGCTGGGCCTTAGGAACAGAGTGGATTTGAGATTATACATAGAAAGAGGATCTCCAGGAGACCACAGAATGGAGCCAAGAGGCCAGAGTGGTAAGGCCAGAAGTGAACTGCACTGAGGAGCTGAGGTCACCAACTGGTCAATCAAGGTGTAGAAGGGAACCAGGATTGATGCGAGCCGCAGGGTTTGGTGAGAAGGTGTAAGTCCTCACTGGGCTTGTTGACTCAGAATGGAACTTCTGAAATGTCAGTCAGCAAGCATTTTCAGCCCTGACATTGTGCCCTTCTTTGAAACTGATGACATAAGTTGATTATCCAAGAATTTAAAATAGCTTTCTGTCAGGCTAAAGCCCGATGTAACAGAGACCATTAGGACAGGCAGGATCGAAGCAAACAGCAATATATTTATTTCAGACCAAGAGTGGCCAAGGGTGAAAAGGCCCTTGGCCACAACAAAGGGGGAGAATATGCTTTATAGAGGAGTTTAAGCAAGGAAGGGGGTTCCCCCTGAGAGAGATGGAAAATTGTAAATTTGTTGGTGTGTTTAGCAGGATAATAGTTGCGGGTTTCCTGTAAGCCTGGGAACCAACCTGATAAACAGGGTTAGTTTAGTCTCTCGGGCTGAGTGAGGGGCTTCCTGCTTGTACAGTAGTGAATCTGTGGAGGTTTTTGCTTCAAGTTGGATGGGGTCCGATTGTGGGAAGCTAACACTTTAAAGTTTGCATTGATATTTGGTAACAGTCTACATAAGCACATGAGTTTGTTGAATGTCATTGGGACAATTAATGTTTTTCATTCTGGGGAGTGAATACAGGGAGCACGTAACTACATCTCCAGCCCTTTTTATTATTTAGGTCTGAGATAGGGTCTTGGTAAGTTCACCAGGCTAGCATTGAACTTGGATTCTCTTGCCTCATCATCCGTAGACCATTAGCACATGGCCTCATTTGATTCTCATGACAGTCATGCGCACAAATCAGCATTGACCTCACAGTCACTTTGAAGAATTTTGTTGGCCCCAGAGACTTTGAGGATAAATTGACTTAGCTTTTAAGGAATCTGTTTGAGAAGTTGAGTTTTTCAGGCAATCAGTGAACCTTTTGAGTGCTAAACTGAGAAGACAGGAGTTGGAGAAGTCCCAGGTAGTTTTGATACAGAACATGGGACTTGGGGGAGGTTTTTGTTTGTTTGCTTGCTTGTTTGTTTTATTTATTGTTTTGTTTTAGGATCTCACTGTGTAGTTCAGGCCAGCCTTGAGTTCACTGTGTAGCCCATGCTCGTCTTAAACTCTCAGTGATCCTCCTGCTTCAGGCTCCCAAGTGCTAGCATTACAGGCATCCACCACTATGCCCAGCCTTGAGGAAGGTTTTGAGAGAGTCTTATATTGATTTATTCAATAGTCAGCATCAGGGCCCTGGTGTAAACTTGGGGATACAGTGATACAATAGATAGATAAGGTGCCTGTTCTCAGAGTGTTGACTATAGCGGGAGGAAAATAGATAATGCAGCAAATAAATGAACAAAAGAAATTCACATAGTAAGTGTTCTGAAGCCCTTAATACAGTACTGCTTTAGAATAGGTGGTCAGGGAAGGCTTTCCTGAAGAAGTGACTTTCAGACGAATACCTCCATCACAAGAAGCAGCCAGCTGTGCTAGGCTCCATGGACAGAGAACGCGGCAGAAGAAGCTGCTGGTGCAGTGATCTGAGGTGGTAATGCTCTTAACATGAAAGAAGGAGAGATGGCTCCTGTGACTTGCGTGGAGCCAGTGTGCAGGAGAGAGTGGCCAGATGAGTTGGGAGCAGGCAGGGCCTGGATTGGCAGGGATGGGAGGCAGCTGCAGGTACTGGAATGGAGCTGGGGTAGTGTGGGTTAGCTCAGGGTCTCACTACATTTCCAGAAGCTCAAGGAGCTTGCCAGCCTTTATAGCAAATACTTCACCAATGCACTGTGTGGTGATCCCATTGTACCTTTAAGACATGATCCCTGCATCGTGTGCTTCCTTCCATAGCCAGAACAGTGGTGGACACAGGAACCTGAGTCAAGTTCCCCTCCCCACTGAGCTGTACAAGTGGGCCGCACCAGAAGTGATCTTTCAGAAGGCAGCCACGGTGAAGTCAGACATCTACAGCTTTTCCATGATCATACAAGAGATTTTAACAGGTGATCAAGCAGCACATTGACAGGGCATGTAGTTCATTGGTAGAACACTATGCTAGTATGTACATGGCCCTGGTTTATACCCTAGCACCATGAAAAAAAGATGATTAAATAAAAAAGAAACACACAACATACACACACACACACACACACACACACACACACACACACAGTAAAACCACATTCCCTGAGGAGTAAGCAAGAGTCAGCTCCCTTTCACAGTATTTGCATCTCAGAGATAACCCCCTATTTTTAGGTTGTCTTTCCCTTAAGAGTTAGTTTTATGAAAGTGTAGAGTTTAAAAGATTTTTATTTTTGTACTTTCTTTTTGTTACTTTATTTTCTTTTGTTTTGAGACAGGGTCACAGGGTTGCTTTGAATTCTTGATCCTCCTGTGTCAGCCTCCTAAGTGCTGGGATTACATGTGTGCATCACTGTGTCTGGCTTACCTTCCAAGACATTTCTTTGTACTTCTGCAAGATATGATGATCTTTTAGAAATGTTTATTGTAACTGTTCTTCATTTGCTCATTACCATATTCCTCCCTTCAACCACCAGTGGTACATGCATGGCTGTCCCATTGAGTGGCTTGTACCACTGCTGGTACAGATGGATCTAGTTGCTTTTATTGGTCTTTTTACTAATAAAATTAATAAAAAGCCCCTTGATGGGATAACCACGTATGTACCACTGGTGGATTCAAGCTGCCTGGCAGGGAGACATACAAAGTACAGCCCCTTTGTGAATGTGTTAATGATAACACGTTCAGACCAAGCAAAGATTGTTTTTTTTTCCTTCTCTGTCTCCTCTTTTTCTTCTCCTTCATGCTCTTCCTCTTCCTCTTCCCCTCCTTTCTTGTTCCTCCTACTTTTCCTCCCCAGACTCCCTCTCCCTTTCCTCTTCTCTTTCTTTTCCACCTCCTCTTCCCCCTTTCCTCTGCTTTCATCTTTCCTCTTTTTTTTTTTTTTTTTTTTTTTTTTTGGAGTGCCTAGGATCAAACTCAGTACCTTGCAAGTACTAGGCAAGTGCTGTAGCCCTGAGCTGTACCCCTCCTCCCAAGCAAAGTTTTAAAACTGAATATTAGTGTCAGTATTTAAGGATCTCTGTGATGTTCCCCTTAAGGACTTGTAAATGAGGAAAAGATGGGCTTCTGAAAAGTAAATATGAAATTAAGCACATCCAGGGTCCCATAAATGTGTAAACAGTGGGCCAGCAATATAGCTCAGTGGCACAGCACCTGCCTGGCAAGCGTGAGGCCCTGAGTTCCATTCCTGGTACCAGAAAACAAAAAAACATGTGTTAACAGTGTCAAATGAAAAAACTGGAAACCCTTTCAAACCTGTAAGACTTTAATGTGAAGTAGTCATGTATGTGAAGACAGGAGGCCTTTTCCAGGAGGTGAACACAAGGCCTGGACATGTAACTCAGTGGTAGAGCACTTTGCTAGTAGGTACATGGCCCTGGTTTCTACCCCAACACCATGAAAAAAAAGATTATTAAATAAGAGAAACACAACACACACACACACACACACACACACACACACACACACACACAGTGAGTAGAACCAAAGTCCCTGAAAGAGTAAGCAAGAGTCAGCTCCCTTTCACAGTATTTGTAGTCTCAGAGACAACACTGCACATAGCATGAGGTGAATGCATTGGGGTATCCAGCCAAATGTCATGAGTCATTCCTGGGTCTCCAAGGCTGCCAGGGGGAAGAGTCTGTACACATGATACTGACAGTACTATTTCCTGTCCCTCTGGCAGGGTTTTAATAGTTAAAGTGGCTTCTCATTTGTGATTGGCCTTTTAGGTAGTTGTACTTCAGGAAGAAATTAATATGTAAAGGGATTGAGTGACTTTGACTGTGGCTACACAACTGTATCTGATTTCTTACAGTTGCTTCTTGCTCTTTTTCCTTACAGATGATGTACCCTGGAATGACTTAGATGGCTCAGTTATTAAAGAAACCCTCCTCTTGGGAAATTATTTAGAAGCTGATGTCAGGCTTCCAAAACCTTACTATGATGTTGTTAAGTCAGGCATCCAAGTCAAGCAGAAAGACAGAACTATGAATCTTCAAGATATCCAGTATATTCTGAAGAATGACTTAAAGGCAAGCCCTGAAGTTCTTGGGAGTTTGATTCTATTTAACCATCTTGGGGGAGTAGGCAGTAAGAGACCAAAAAGAATCTGGGGTCCAAGCCACAGAAAGCATTGGAAACCCTCATTTTATTGTACCTGTGTGTTGCTGAGAAAGCCTAACTGCTTAACACAGTGTCGGGAGGAGGGGTGGAGGGGTGGAGCTGAGGAGTGTTAACACATAGTAGGTAGGGTGCACCGTGGGGATGCAGTGAGTGGCAGCTATTACTGTTTTCAAGGTATTGGAATAAGAATGAAGTAGCTAATAAGGAGCTAATACAGTGTATCCAACAAGAGGAAGAGGGAGCTCACCTGATAGGTAGATGGGTTTCTACCAGTGACATTCAGAAGATTGCAGCTACGCCTTTGACAACGTTTCCTGTGTCATAGGAGAACACTGGAGGACAGAGAACTCAGCCAATGGAGAGCCCCAGGGTGCAGAGGCGTGAACCCTATCCTGATGTCAGTGTCTATCTAGGACTGACTTCAGAACGTCCAAAGGGCAGTGCAGACTTGGAAATCAAAGAGCTAAAGGAATCAGGTATGGCCTTAACTCACAGGCTAAATATCACTTTGACACTCGTGTATTTTGAGTCACATGTGCTGCAATTAATCATCTTTTTACATGTAACTTATTCTGGGAAGATAGGGATACTTTAAGGAAAAGTCAAGATCTTTGAAATCATTAAATTAAACTTTTTGGGTTTTATGAATACCTGGTTTGAATGCAGAACTGAGTGGTAACCATGAATTTATTGCTAGCAATACTATTTTTCTTTTCTTTTCTTTTCTTTTCTTTTCTTTTCTTTTCTTTTGTTTTTTCCTTCCTTTTTCTTTTATTTATTTTTTCTTGAGACAAGATCTCACTGTGCAGTTTAGGCTCATCTTGAATTCACTATTTAACCCGGGCTGGCTTGAACTCGCAGCCATCTTCCTGCCTCAGCCTCCAAAGTATTGAGATTACAGATGTGCACCACCATGCCTGGCTTTTTTCTTTTTTTCAGAAATCATCTCAGTAGGGCCAGGACTATAGCTCAGCAGTGCAGTGCGTACCTGGCAAGTGTGAGGTCCTGAGTTTGATTCCCAGTACCCGCTAAACAAAATTGAAAAGGGAGCCACGGATTGAGCTCAGCAGCACAAGCGAACTGCCTGGCAAGTTCAAGGTCCTGAGTTTTGATTCCCAGTACCAAGAAAAGAGAAATATCTCAGTGTGTACTCTGGCTGAACCCTCTGTGTAGTCCAGGCTGACTTGAAACTCAAAATACTCTTGCCTCAGCCTCTTACATGCTGGATTTCAGATTTACATGACCATGCCTGACTATGATTACTCTAAAGGTCTTATGTAATTGCTTCAAAACAAAAATAGTGCTTTAATTTTTGTATTTAAAACCACTACGTGCTAACTGGCCATGCACCAGCCAGATGTGCTGATATATACTTATAATATCAGCTCATCAGGTGGCTGAGGCACAAATACCACTTTTTAACCTAAGTGTTAACCTAAGTGCTTTCAACCTAACCTAGGAGTTCCAGGCCAGTGTGGGCAACTTAGTGAAATCTTATCTCAAAAAAAGGAAAAAAAGAGCTACCCTCTCCTCATTTTGGAAATTGAAACAGTACAAAGAATAAAATTTCTTACCATTTTAATTCAGCCATTTAGGAGTAACTTACTAACATTTTTGTCTTTCTTACAACATTTTCTATGCTCTGCTGCATTTTAGTACATTTGGAAATGGGGAACTTAGAACTGGGAACTGAAAAGGGCCTTACAATCATTGGACATAATACCCTGCCATTACAGATGAGAAAGCTAAGGTGTAGGGTTATAGCCTGCTCAAGGTTGCAGAACTTGTTACAGATCCAAAGCCAGGCCTTCTAATTCCAACCAAATGACTGTTCACTCAGATTTTCTTCTTCTTTTTTTTTTTTTTTTTTTTTTTTTTTTGTTTTTTGTTTTTTTCCGGTACCAGGAATCGAACTCACGACCTTGCGCTTGCCAGGCAGGCGCTGTGCCACTGAACTAAATCCTCAGCCCCCAGATTTTCTTCTTGATGAGGCTGGAGGCCTCCATTGTGGCTCTCCAAACCCTTATTATTTGTGTCTTTTGTCTCTTTTGCTCCAAACTGGACACCTGTCAATCAGGAATGGTGTGTGGTCAGCACTGGCATTATGTTCTATTATTTATCCTTCTTATGATGCAGTGGTTTCCTGGGTCATTCCTCTGCTACTTTTATCAGATGCTCCCTAAGAGTATAACTCACTGACATAAGTTGTCACATGCGTTTGTGTTTAAAGAAAGCTATGAGCATAGTCCTTGAGGTTAAGGGGCCTGTAATTTTTATGTCTCCGCAGTTTAAAATGTTTTGAATACCAAGGAAGTGAAGCTTATGGCTTTTTCTGTAGGATTTGGCTTCTTCCACCCACAAAATATCTCTTCATTCCATGTGAAAGTGAGAACTTTCACTTAGGTTAAAAATATCCTTTGATGAGTATATGCAGTGGTCTTCCATAACGCTGAGGGAGGAAAAATAAAGGCTTTGTGTGCATTCCTGTGCCTCTTGGGCAAACGGCCAGGTCTGCTTAACTGCTGAATATAGTAATCACTTTAATCAATTGTGTGTTGCTACTCTTTTCAACAGGCAGTCAGCTCCATTCACCAAAGGGTCACTCTTCTCCCACTGCAAAAGCAGCATTAGCTCCTCAGACCCCAGATCCAAGTCTGATGGCCCAGGTACCTCAGAATCCAGATGCTCCTCCTCCCACTGCTACTTCAGTGGTGGCACAAACCAGTAGCCCCAATGCAAGTCAGGGCAGCCTCCACAGCTTCGAGATCAATGAAATCTACTCAGGCTGCTTGAACATAGGAGATGACACAGAGGAAGAATGCCCAGGTGCTACTTCAGCTCTTGAGGGTGATAAACCAGACCAGGCAGATGAGCTGCAGTCCCTAGAAGAAGAGTTGGATAAGATAGGGGAAGAGGCACACCTTTGTGATGAGGATGAGAGCTCTTCAGAAGTTGACACGGAGCTCTTCTTTGGAGACTGGGACTGGCAAAATAGTTCACTTAGTTTACTCAGCCTGCCTGAGGCAACCGGAGAAGCCAAGGGCAAGGTGAGCAGCTGGTCCAAGACTGAGGAGTACATCAGTAAATGCGTGCTGAATCTAAAGATTTCACAGACCATGGCTCATGAGATCACAGATTTGGTGGGGAATATTGAGCAGAAATTAGATGAGGTTGAATTGATACAAAAGGAGCACATATCTTCGTGGACTGCTTCAAGATTATTTCCAGATGTCTGTGACTTACCTATCCCAGTGGGCCCTCCAACTTTGAATTACATTCATCCTGTCACACAAGTGTCAGGAGGCTCCCAGCTGGACACCAATGGCAATTGCCCAACCTTACTAAGCTCCCCAAGAACAGTGAAAGAATTTCAAGGGGGACATTTTGGCAAAAAACCCAAAAGAACAAGTAGTTATGGCTGGAAACCTTTCACCCAAGTCTCTGAAGAAAGCACTAAGGACCAGTCAGAGAGACATCAGCAGGTAAATCAAAGTGGGAGGCAAGGGCAACCTAAGTAGGACTTTATAGCCAGGATCAACACTGCCCCTGACCCATGTGTAGGAGCTGGCAGATAAACGCCACTAGCTCAGATCGAGTTCCTCTTAGCTTTAGGAAAGAAGATCTCTAGGAAAGAATTCAGGGAAGATACATGCTACCTCCCATTTCCAAACCCAGTACACAGTCAGTGTCTTTCTCTGTAAATTCATATGCAGTAGATACAATTAAAGGAAATTTGTGTTTCATAGGTCAAAACTGTCAAGTTTTAGCAGTTTCACATGGTTTAACGTATCATATAAAGTATTCTGTACAGATATTCATCCCCATTGTAAATTGCTTATTCACTCATTCATTCACACGTCCAAAAAGCATTTATAGATCCAGAGGCCGTATTAGACCCTGGGATATGATGAGGAATAAGCCACAAGCTATGCTCATGAGCAGCTCAAACCCTAGTGGGAGTCTGAGGGGCCTACTGGTCACAGAAGACACTTCAGAGGAGGTGAGTTGACACCCTAGGAGCTGGCCTGGGAGTGTACAGATGCTTGTGAGGTTCTAGAGTGGCTCCTCTGTGAGCACTTTGAGAACAAAGCTGAGGTCTTATTCCTGTATTTCAGCACATAGCTTGGGCCTGACACTAGAAGATGCTCAAAAAATGATCATTGAGAGGATGAATGCATAGGTAAATTTGAACAAGTTCATACACAGAGCTTGTTGAGTTACTGACTTATAGAGCTAAAGCACCCTCAAACCTGGATCAACTTTGTCATTTTATAGTGTGATGCTCAAGCTCAGTGAGTTAAACTTCCTAAGGTCCAGTGGTGACACCAAGATTGGAGTGGGGTAGGAAAGTTCTGTCCCAGAGGATTTTACTACTGAAATTACTTAAAATGGCTAGCTAATGGTAAGGAAAAGCAGATCAACTTTTAGGCCCTTCATGAAAGTCTCCACTTACAGTGTACCTGTTGTCTGCATACAGCAGATAGGCCCGCCCCCACTATTTGCTATGCCACTGGCAAAGTCCAAGCTGGTTGGGGTCCTTCTGACTCCAGCCTGGTTTTCTTTCACTGTGCCAAGCTCTCGTTCAGTGAGGCTTCAGCCTGTACTTAGAACACTTGGAAATACGTTGACCTCTTGTCTTTTTTTATTTTTGGTGCTGGGGATCAAACCCAGGGCCTCAGCTGTGCTAGGCAAGATCTCATCACAGAGTTACACCTCCAGCCCTGGCATTTTTTTAATATAAAGCACAAATAAGTTATGTAGTTTCTAATACCTGCTTCATTGAATATTAGGATTTGATAGAAAACTGTTGAAAGTAACTGTTCTCATTATGTTTTGGTTATCTGTTGCTGTCTAATAACAACAAACCCTCAAAACTTAGCAGTTTAGGCCAGGTGTGGTGGTGCAGCACTCAGGAAGCTGAGGCAGGAAGATTGCTGTGAGCTTGAGGCCAGCCTGGGCTACATAGTGAGTTCCTGTCTCAAATAAAATAAAATATGTAGCCTGGGCTACATAGCGAGATCCTGTCTCAAATAAAATAAAATAAAGACTTAGTAATTTAAAACAGCCATGTCTTCTTATTTATCACAGTTCTCAGGGTCAGGGATTTGAGAGTTGGCTTGGGTGGTTCTTCTGTTCTAAGTAGCATTAGCTGAGTCACCTGATAGCATTCTACTGGAGGGAGGCAAGGAGAAAGATGCCTCCATTTGCATGGCTGTTGCCTGGAGCTCCTCTTACGTGGTTTCCTTCTCTGCACTTCCCTTCTCATCATTCAGTAAATCATCTCTCCCAAGCTTCTCTATGCTGTGGCGGCTCACTGGCTGACTGGCTTGCCTGCTTGCTTGTTTCAGCTTTTTGAGACAGGGTTTCACTATGTAGTTCAGGCTGGGTGGCCTCAAACTCCCAACGATCCTCCTGCCTCAGCCTCCCGAGTGCTGGGATTACAGGTGTGAGCCACCACGCCTGGCGGAGCAGCTTTCTAAGTAAAAGATGAAACTATGAGACCTTGTCTCAAAAAGACCGAAAAAAAAACCCTCTAGGCCCGGACGTGGTGGCACACTCCTCAGCACTCAGCACTCAGGAGGCTGAGGCAGGAGGATCATTGCAAGCTCAAGGCCAGCCTGAACTGCATAGTAAGACCTTGTCTCAAAAGACCCAAAAAAAAGAAGAAAAAAAAAAAAAAAAAAGGTGAAACTGCTTTGCCTCTTAAAAACTGGTCCATGGGGCTGGGGATTTAGCTCAGCAGCACAGCGCCTGCCTGGCAAGCGCAAGGTCTTGAGTTCGATTCCCGGTACCGAAGAAAAAACAAAAAACAAAAAACAAAAAAAAAACTGGTCCTAGCCCTAGGACATTGTCACTTCAGGAAGTCACTAAGGCAGCCTAGATTCAAGAGGAGGGAAATAGGCTCTAGCTCCTGGTGAGGTAGACAGGAAAAGAAGGAATTGATGGCATTCATCATTGGAAGCCATTTACTAGTACATACGAGTATGTATAAAACAATCATATTTTTATTTTTTTATCATCAGGAAATAAGGCATTTCTACTAAGTAAATTTTTCAGGGAGTTAAAAGTGATTCGTTTAGTTTAATTCTTAAATTTATTTATTTATTTATTTATTTATTTATTTATTTATTTTTTGGAGTTGGTTTTGCTATGCACTTCAGGCTGGTCTTGAACTCACTTTGTAGCCAAGGCTGGCCTTGAACTCACAGTAATCCTCCTGCCTCAGCCTCCAACATTAGCTACCATGCCTGACTAATTCTTAAAATTTTAAGAATGATAATAGTACAGACTTCCCATTATTCTAAATATATATTTTAATTATAGTTCTAAACATATTCTGGCATTTCCTTTATGATAGTGACATTTTTGTGAATATTCATTCTTGTCATGCTTCCTTGGCTGAAGGCCATCTTCAGCCCTTGGGGAGGAGTGTTTGACCTTACACAAAGGCCTGTTGAAATCATACCTTGCGGAGGTTGTGATTATTTTTTATGCCTCCTCTCACTTTTATGGATCTTGCTGATGTCCCAAACTCCACAGTTGTAGCTTTAATTTTGAGTAAGCAAGGAAATACAGTTAACATTATAATTGAAACAAGGAGGAAGATCCCAAAGTCTCTGTTTTGAATAAAGGACATAGACTTTTATTTATTTTACTTCTACTTTGAAAGTATTGTAGCCTTTGTTATATTTTATTTTCATAGCATCTTCTGTGGTGCTATTATTGTCCCTGCTTTATAGATGATGAAACTGCAGTATATCACTCTCCTAGAGTAGTCTAAGTAAGGCTTAAATCAGAACCCAAAGGTCAGGGTTTCTGCAGCAAATATATACTGCCTTCATATTAGTGTGGGAGAAAAATGCTTAGGAGAGTCATTTTTTTATTTCTATTTTATTTGTTCATTTTGCACATACACCCTATTTAGACTGCATTTTTTTTTTTTTTTTGGTCTTTTTGAGGCAGGTTCTTGCTATGCAGTCCAGGCTGGCCTTGAGCTCACTTTGTAGCCCAGAATGGTCCCAAACTCACAATGATCCTCCTGCCTCAGCCTCCGAAGTGCTGGGATTACAGGTGTGCGCCACCACGCCCTAGACTGGTTTTGAGGGCCAACTTTCTGGGTAAAGACTTCAAACTGAGAGATAAGTTACTAGATAGGAGACATACAAAGGATATATCTGGTTATTTCTAGATATTTAGCCAGAATAGCTTTGAAAATAGTGTAAGACTAAAGAGATCAAGGCACTGAAATGTGGTTATTGTTTTTCAAGCTGTCAACTATTTGTGATCCTGGAAAACAGGACAGAAGTGAACCATTTCAGGCCACTCAAGGAGCCAAGGACAGTTTGGAAAGGAAGAAGAACCAAGATAGTAGGTAGGTCAACCTTTTATTGTTCGTACCACTGTGTCTTTAGGCTCTCCTGTGGCATGTGGCCACTAAATGACCTTCATACATCTAGTGGCAGAGGAACTGGGAGTAGTGGAAAGGCACAAGACAGAAGCAGATCTTGTCAGGTTTTCTTTGCCAAGCAAATGAAAAGAGCAGTGTAACGCAGGACTTTGTGCTTGCTAGGCAGGCACTTGTGGTGCTGAGCTCTATCCCCAGCCCAGTGTAATGGGAACTTGGAGGACAATTCACAGGCAATGTGGCTGGCAGCTTAACCAGACAGAACTTATTCTTTGTCCAAAGCACAGCATCTTGCCTTTCCAAAACTGACCAGATAGTTTTTCTTTAAAAAAAAAAATGCCAGGTACTCCACTTGCCAGTACTCCAGAAACCAAACTTATTGGAAAACAGTGTTTAACACATTCCTGCCAACTTGAACCACTGGTGGTTCATGCATGACTGTCCCATCAGGTGACATGGGACAGTCCCATCTGGTGGTACAAGCTGCCCAGTGGAACAGTCATGGGTGTTCAGCCCCATCGTGAATGTGTTAAAAGTAAGTATCACTGACTCCAGAGAAGTTGAACAATATTGTTATCCTGGAGTGTGTGATTTCCTGCCAAATGAATGAAATGAATTGACATTAGCAGAAATCTCCTGAAAGGAAAGTATTTATGAACCCTGGGCTTTGAGTTATTGGTGTAAAACACATTTTATTTTATGTATGGCCAGTTATTAAGCAATAATTGCTTAATTTTTAAATTTTAAAAGTTGACATAACTGTATGTTTTTCATCATCCACGAGATAATATTTTGAAGTACATACTACTTGTAGAGTGTTTATTTCTAGGTAATTACAGTTGTATTGCTCACACACATGCCTACTCTCTGTTTTCAAGACTGATGTATAATTATCCAGTGTAGGCACTGTGGTGTATAATACAGGTAACCACCCTTCCACTGCTTCTATGAGGTTAACGTTCCTAGATTCCACATAAGAGTGAGATTGTGCAAAAACAGACCAAATAAAAGTTTAATGTTCAGCTACCTATTTATGTGTACTTTTATATTCTTTTAAAAAAAAATTGTAATTACTATATGTATTGGCATTTTTTTTGGCTTTTTTTTTTTTTTTTTTTTTTTTTTGAGACAGGGTCTCACTATGTAGTTCAGGCTGGACTTCAGTTCACAATGTAGCCCAGGCTGGCCTCAAACTCACAGTGATCCTCCTCAAACTCAGCGTTATGAGTTCTGGGATTATAGGTATGCATCACCACACCTGGCTGTTAGGCAATTTATATCATGGTTTTTCACTTTATATTAGAACATAAGCATTGTCTCTTGATGGACACCTAAATTGGTTCTGTGTCTTGGCTCTTATGAAGAGTGCTGCAGTAAACATGCAAGTGTGGATATCTCTCCAAAATTCTGATTTCAGTTCCTTTGCTTATATACCCATTAGTAAGATTGCTAGATCATAATGGTAGTTATATTTTTAATATTATTTTTGAGAGGGATCTTACTGTGTTGAACAGGCTAGTCTTGATCTCTTTGGCTCAAATGATCCTCCTGCCTCAGCCTCCACAGTAGCTGAGACTATAGGTGTTCACCACTATACCCGGCTTATTTTTAATTTCCTGAGAAACCTCTGTACCCTTTCCCTTAATTGCTCTTCTCATTTACATTCCTACCAATTATAATGATTCCCTTTTCTTCACATCCTTGCAAACATTTGCAAACTGCATTTAAATTGTGGATTTCTTCTACTTCTGAAAATTTCCAAAGAAAATGTTTAAAATCATAAAATCTGAACTTGGAAACTGAAAAAAATCTTCAAAGCTCTTCTAGCCCATCCTTTTCATTTCTCAGCCAGAGAAAGTCTAAGGAATCTAGTACCCAAGGCAAAGTTGTGGAACTAAAGAGTATCCTCTTTCCCATGTCAAGCCGTGTGCAGGGACCTTCTGGATCATCCTGCCCTTCCCAGGGCTCTACCAGGTAAGGAGCCTTGCAATCTGGTGCGCTCTGGTAGCAGATAGGAGTCACTGCAACTGCAGGAATGGCTCAGGGAATCTCGGGTGGTTCTGGGTAGGTTGGGGGCTTTGAGTTCTGTTAGAAACTGGAACAAACCAATGTATTTGTGTCCACCTGCTCCCATCATCCCAACCCAAAACACCTATGCAATTTAGGATGAATGTGGAATCTATGACTTCTGTAATCTCTAATGTGAAACCAGGAAACAAAGATGATGGAAAGATACACTTAAAATGGAAAAGTGAGTATGATGTCATGGGTTTTGTTAGATAAAATGTTTTTGATTTTTTGTTGTTTTTTTTTTTGGCGGCTTTTTGAGACAAGTCTTGCTATGCAGTTCAGGCTGGCCTTAAGCCCACTTTGTAGCTGAGGCTGATCTCGAACTCACAACAGTCCTCCTGCCTCAGCTTCCTGAGTGCTGGGATTACAGCCATGTGCCACTATGCATGGTTTTGTTGTTGTTGATGTTGCTGTTGTTGTTGTTGTTGTTGTTGTTGTTTTGTAATGGGAATCGAACTCACAGACTTGCTTGCTGGGCCAGTGCTGGGCTGCTGAGCTATATCCTGGCCCCAATAAAATGAAATTTAAACTATTCTCTCTCCCTCTCCCTCCCTCCTTCTGTCCCTCTCTCCCCTCCCTCCCTCCCTCAAACCCAGGGCCTCATGCTGCACCTCCAGCTGCAGCTGATACCTTTAAGTACAAAGCCTGCATTTCTTTGAAAACAATGTCTGCTTACATTTTTCTTGCATGAGATCATTCATTCGCTCATTTGTTTATTTATTTGGATACAGTCTTGCTACGTAGTTGAGACTGGCCTTGAACTCACCATGTAGCCCATTCTGGCCTCTAGTTTGTAGCAGTCCTCCTGACTCTGCCTCCTGAGTGCTGGGATTATTGGGATGCACCACTACACTCCGCTGCAATGTCGGTTTTTTAGTACTGTGACTTTTGCAGAAGTATGGAACACTTGAAATGAAAACAGGCATATATGTACATACCCCCAAAGTATGAGCTCAGTGGTCTAGAAAGACAAACTCAAGCCCATTCTATTAACTACTATTTCTGGGGATTTCAGATGTCCATTTTTTGTTACATCATCAAGAGCATGCATCTGCAAGGTTTCTGCTGACTTCATCTGCAGTGCAGCAGCAAGGGCTGTTTAGGGGTAACTAACTGAAATGCCTTTACTGTTCTGTCATCATTTTCTTCCTTCCCCTCCCCATCAAGCCAAACAGGACAAGCTAAGGAAGATACAACTGTGCAAAGGTAACTAATATTACAGTGTGAGCTAGAGAAGGATCACACATCTCTAGGATGAAAACTTCATTTCCATTTTCACAGTGACACTTTCAAGGTTGTTTCTTTTTGTGTGCAGCGGAGGTAAAAGAAACGGCTGAGAAGGCAGCTAGTGGGGAGCTCCCGGTCTTTCCTTGGCATCCTCAGAGCAGTTTGACTTTGAAGAGTGAGGCTGTACCTGGGTCCAGTCCCTTGCTGCAGCCCCCTGCTAGGGGCCCGGAAAACATGGATTGGCAGCGAGTTGTAGAGTTTCACAGGGAGAAGGAAGAGCCAGGAGGAAATGATGTCAAATCAGGGAAAGTGGACAACTGTGACCATGACAGCGAGAAGCGAGGCAGGCAGCCTGGGACACAAAGCTTCACCAGTAAGTTCAGTTGGGGAAATTGGGTTGGGTGAACTCTAACAAGGTACCAGCTCTCAAAAGTATGTTAGCTTTCTGGCATATTTCCTTTGCTTAATTCTCTCTCCTGCATTTCTGGGAATTTGAACGCTAAGGGAAAGCAGCATATCCCTTATGCCCTGCTGTACTTCCTACAGGAATAGGTATTCAGAGAATCATGACTTTTCCTATAACTGAGACAAGATCCCTTCATCCAGTGGAAGTAAGATAAAGTGCATCTCCTGGCCATAGTAACCTGGCAAGGAATCAAACCTTCTTAACCTAAGGGTGGAGATGGGATACCAGTCCCTCCTGCTTGTTTCTTTGCATTATATTCCAGGCTAGAAATAAATCCATTGGGTCTATGACATTTATAACTGAAGACTATATATATATCTGCCCAGTAATTTGCTCTTGGTGAGGATAATGGGGTAGCACTGATCCAAAGAAAAGGACGTCTATAGTTATCATTTATCTTAGACAGAAAACCTGTTGGCTTGGGTGTTTTGTTCACTGTTTTTTTTTTTTTTTTTTTTGGTGAGTACCAGGAATCAAACTCAGGATCTTGTACTTGCCAGGAAGGTACTGTGCTGCTCCAGCCTTCTTTTTTTTTTTTTAAAGCATCACTTTTGAGTGGCCAATAGGGTGGACGATCCAGGGCTGCATTTTAGACCCAAGCTAAAGAATCTGTATTCTCTGCACTAAACCTAGCATATCAAATATGGCCACTCTTGGCCGAATGCATGTGCATCTCTCTTCTCACACTGTGTTTTGTCCCTTTCATGCTATCCCAAAACCATTGTCTGTGACCTTGATTGCATTATACTCATTAGGTATCAGGCATCTTTCATCCAGGAAAAATGAGCAGCCAGAACCTAGTGAAGCCTTTCAAGCAAGTTCTGACATAGCTGTGACCATTGAGAAATCTTATAATGTAAGTAATAAGGCTTGATGAGCCAAGTTGAGCCTAGTGATCTAATAAGCTGGAGCCAAGGTGTTACGTATTATGATACCAATGTAGTATCTATCGTAGTTTGATACACTGTTGGGGACCTGGCCAAGATCCCCAACTGCATGTATGCAGGGTACGGCAAAAGGATGAAATAAAAAACAGACAGGTCTAGTAATGCAAGATGGGGGTCTAGGAGGTCAGTGGCTCAGGATGGGTAGAAACTAAGACATGCCAAGCCAGCCACTATTTATTGGGTATATACAGTGATAGGAGGGATTAGCAGAAGACTCAGAGGTTGATGACTAAGGGGCAACGATGTGATCTTATGCTAAGAAGGATCTTGCCTTGGAGTCTTAGTGGTCTTAGTTTTAGTCATGGTGGGAGAAGATGGTCCATCCCTAAAGAGATAATGAGAAATTTCAAAAGGGTGATACTGTTAATCCCAACCCTTCATTTAACCCTCCATTTATTCCTTAGGGAAGTATGCAAAATTAGCCATTGTGAATTTGTGGTCCCCAACAATATACTAACTATATGAGGCCACAGTCATCTGAAGAATAGTAGCAGCAATTTGAATGACACAACATAAAGTATAATAGTGATAACATAATAAGGTTTTTGAACACAGTACAATGTTGTGTTAATCATACAAACTATTCACAACTACAGTGTCTCCCTTCTGTCATGTGAGAGCTAGAAGGACATGCTACATTGAACACACTTACTAGGCTGGAGAGGCAGGTCTAGTCATGGAAGAGGGGAAGGTGTGGAGGCAGCCAGATTCGTCTGGTAAATTTGGGTTTGCTGTGAGAGGTAAAGAGGAACAGCTCTTGAGTGCACAGTGAGGGGAAGGTTGTGCCAAAAGCAATGTCCGAGGAAACAAGCCATAAAATCTCTGCAAAAGGATGTCTGAAGACAGGAGAAAAGAACCACTTTTCTAACCATGTCGTGAGCAGTGTGTGAATGTAAGAAAATAAGCAGAAAAAAGAGAGTGAAGTGGGGATGTTCTGTTACTTTGTTTTTTGGTTTTTTGTGGGGGGGTTTTGGTACCAAAAATTGAACTCAAGACCTTGCACTTGTAGGCCCTGTGCTGCTGAGCTATATCCCTGACCCGCTCTGTTACTTTTTAATATTTCAATTTTATTTTATTTATGTATTTGAGACAGGGTTTCACTATGCAGTTCAGGCTGGCCTTGAATTCACTATGTAGCCCAGATTGGCCTCAAACTCACAGCAATCCTCCTGCCTGAGCCTCCCAAGAACTGGAATTACTGGTGTGTGCCACTATGCCTAGCTCGACTTTTCATTCTTTTTTTACGGGGTGTGCTGGGTATCAAATTTGGGATCTCACACTTGCCAGGCAGGCATTGCACCACTCAGCTAAATACTTGGCCCCTTGGGGCTGGGGATTTAGCTCAGCGGCACAGCGCCTGCCTGGCAAGTGCAAGTTTGTGAGTTCGGTTCCTGGTACCAGAAAAACAAAACTAACTAACTAAATAAATAAATAAATACTTGGCCCCTTGACTTTTCATTCTTGAGATTGCATTGTTATTTTTAAAATCATCCTCTGTAGAGAGGCTGAGGCAAGAGGATCACTGTGAGTTCCAGGCCAGCCTGCACTACAAAGTGAAACACTGTCTCAAAAACCAAAACAAAATAACACCAAAAGAAATTCTGCCCCAGCCTTTAAACTGTAGCACCTGAAGAAGTTCTGAGGTCTGAGCAGCTTCAGATTCCTCATGTGTAGGCTAAGGCCAAGGTGTGGACTGTGGACTACATGTATTCCCTGTAGGTATCAGGGGTTGTAAATTGGGTCCTCAGCATGCGTTGTCGGAGGCCTATGTTCTCACTTAGAATTTTAGATGGAAAAGTGGTCTCCTCCCCACCCGATCTGCAAATGAGAGGCTGAGACACAGAAGGGTCATTCCTCCACATGTGTTCCAAAGAGTTCATGACTGCCTCTCTACTACGAAGGTGAGCAGAGGCACACACAAAAACAAGCTGGGAAAGGCAGCTCAATGTTCAGCTGATTGCTGGGTAGTCTTCTGTAAGCTGTAAAGGAATGGTTTACAATTAACAGCTATTTAACTGTGATTTCCTGCATTATTAATAGGATCATGCTACATGTTCACCGGAATCTTCTGAAGACATAACAGATGAATTTTTAACTCCAGACCATGAGTATTTTTACTCCTCAGCTGCTCAAGAAAACTTACCTATAGAGGTAAAAAATCATATTCAGGGTGAAGTACATTTTCACATTTCTCCATTGCCTTATTTAAATCATTTTCTTTTGAGACAATAGCTTACATGTTGTTATGGCTTATATCTAGATGTCCCTCCAAAAGCCTTGTGTGGTCATAGATTGAGCTTTTCAGAGGTGGCTGGATCTAGAGTGTGTGATTACAAAACTGTGTAGTTACTAAATTAGTGCACTGATTGGTTTGGCATAATTCTGGGTTAAGGGTGCTCCACCCTGGGTTTGAGTGCTGCCCACCCTAAGGGCAGGCAGCCTGGATGGGATATAAGGGACAAAAAGGTCACTTGCTGCTTGTTTGCTGCTTGTGACCTCCTGCCTTCTGCCTGCCAAGAACTATTTCTCTACTGTGAAGTAGTAGAAATTCCCTCTGTCATGCCTTCCTGTCTTGGAGCCAGATGCCTATGGACTTAAACCTTTATAAACTGTGAACTACAAAAAAAACCTTTCCTCCCTGGTTGTGGGGGTGCACACCTGTAATCCCAGCACTCAGTAGGCTGAGGCAGGAGGATCATCATGAGTTTGAGGCCAGCCTGAACGCATAGTGAGACCCTGTCTCAAAAACACACACAAAAAAATCTTTCCTCTTTTAACTTTGAGTGTTGGGTATTTTGTGTTAGCAACGAGAAAAATAAGTAAAACACACATGAAAATACCTAATGTCGTATTCATAGTGCTTTCGTGTATATTTTTAAAAACTGGGGTTTTTGATTTTTGTTGTTGTTGTTTTGGTCTTTTTGAGACAGAATCTTCCTATACAGTTCAGACTGACCTTGAGCTCACTTTGTAGCCCAGGCTGGCCTCAAACTCGCAACAATCCTCCTGCCTCAGCCTCCCAAGTGCTGGGATTACAGGCATGCACCACTATGCCTGGCTTTTTAAAAACTATTTTTGAAAAATAATATTTTTTGGAGGTCCCATTTCCCCCTTCTGGATATCTTCTCAGAAGAATAAAAATATTGTACCACAGTGATATATGTGCACCCATGTTCCTAGCAGCACAATTGTTTTTTAGCAGCACAGTTTGTAATAGCTAGATCTTGGAAACTACTCAAATGCCCATCAATCGAGGAATGGATAAAAAAGATGTAGATATAAAAGATTTTTATATAATGGAGTGTAAGATTTTTATATAATGGAGTGTTACTCAGCTATAAAGAAGGATAAACTGGAAACTTTTATAGGTAAATGGATGCAACTTGAGACCATACTCATAAGTGAAATAAATCAGACACAAATGTGTAAACATCATATTGTCTTCCTAGTGTGAGAAGATGAAAGTAAATAAGATCAAAAATGTACAATCGATATTGTAAAACGGGAAGAAACTTCAAAAGGAAAGAGAAACTGGTTTGGGGGAATGGAGAAAAGATGGAAGGAAAAAGCAAAAGGAAAAAATATATATATATATTATATACAAAAGACAGTTAAAATAGTTATACTACTAATTTCTCAGTTCATTGAAAAGAGTTTGGGCTAATATTGTTTGGACAGCCAAAGGCTGATATCTTATACTCTGAGTAATTTAAAGATAATACTCCACGAATTCACCATTGTTACCCTCCTATTGTATTGTTTTGGAATTTTGTTTTTTGGTTTTTTTGTTTGTTTGTTTCTTTTTCTTTAAAATAAAATTTTTTTTAAAAGATAAGATTTTGGAGCTGGGGATTTAGCTCAATGGCACAGCGCCTTTCCGGCAAGCACAAGGTCTTGAGTTTGATCCTGAGGTACCAGAAAAAGAAAACAAAAAAAACAAAACAAAACATAAAAGATAAGATTTTTGAAGCTGGGCATGGTGGCTCACACCCGTAATTCCAGGACTAGGGAGGCTGAGGCAGGAGGATCATTGTGAGTTCAAGGCCAGCCTGGGCTATAAAGTGAGCTCAAGGCCAGCCTGAACTGCACAGCAAAACCCTGTCTCAAAAAGACCACAAAAAAATGAGAGAAAGAGAGACAATAATCTATACAAAAAAAAAAAAAAAAAAAAGATTTTTGAGAGTGGCAAGTCATGTGCAATTTCCCCCAAAATCATGATTTTTTTTCACTTGTATAGTACTTTGTACTTTTTTCCAAAACAGTTTTATTCATGCTACCTATCACATATTCTTTCTGTGAAGAAGAGGTTATCATCTCTGCAGGTGTAGGGAATCAAGCCTCATCGTCCAGTCTTTAGTGACAGCAGAGACAGGATTAGAGGCAAGGATTCAGGAATAAGATGGCACTGTCCAGTACACACAGTTTTCCTCTGAGCATGCAAGTTGTGCAAGGACCTGCTGGTGAAGTATTTTCATTCTTAAAATGAAATTCAATGGATTGTCTTACTTATATAATTTCTACTCTATCTCTCCCCTTATTAGCATATTTTTGGAATCCTTTTATCAACATGAAAAGTAGACTGAGGGAAAGCTAGGAATGTGCATTCCAATCATACCATTTGACTGACAAAAATCCCACATGTATCAGAAGTATCATTCCTACTTGTCTTCACATAGCAGTTCCACTATTTCTTTTCTTTTTTGTTTTATTTTATTTATATATATTTTTTGAGGCAGTGTCTCACTATATAGTTCAGGCTGGCCTTGAACTCACTATGTACCCAACACTGGCCTTGAACTTGTAGCAATCTTTCTGCTTAAGTCTCTCCAGTGCTGGGATTACAAATGTGTGCCACCACACCTAGCAGCAAAAATTTTTAAGCCAGGTGTGGTGGTGCATGCCTGTAATCCCAGCACTCAGGAGGCTGAGGCAAGAGGATCGCTTTGAGTTTCAGGCCAGCCTAGCCTGCACTACATAGTGAGACCCTGTCTCAAAAAGCCACAAACAAGATTTTTAACCCCTAAAAGAAAACAATTGTCAACCTAGATTTTTGTATCCTGGTAAATTAGCCTTCAAAACTAGATAGAGAAGTAAAGGTTTTCCATGACAAATTCTGAAGAACTACATGACAACTAAATCAGCATTGCAGAAAATACTTAAAGGAATTCTAGGTAGAGGCTGGAAGGCCTCCAGCACAAAAGAATCCAAAGGAAAATGTACATCTAACTAGGAGACTAGTTAAAAGGTGGGCATGGAAGGTTCTCATAACAGTATGCTTTTTTTTTTTGTCTTTCTGAGACAGGGTCTCACTATGCAGTTCAGGCTGGCCTTGAGCTCACTTTGTAGCCCAGGCTGGCCTCGAACTTGCAGTGATCCTCCTGCCTCAGCCTCCCAAGTGCTGGGATTACAGGCATGTGCCACCACGCCCGGCAGAAGGTTCTCATTTAATGACCAAGTAATGGTCCTGTGACTAGGTCGTTAATTGAATTGATTGCTAAATGAGGAACTGTATATAGTATGTACACTGCAGTATTCAGAACAAAGAAATGGTCAAAGAAAACTCCAACTTCCAGCCAGACATGGTGCATGCCTATAATCCCAGCACTTGGGAGCCTGAGGGGAAGGCAGGAGTGTACGTTCCAATCATACCACTTGGCTAACAAGAATCTCAGATGTATCAAAAGTGTAACTGCTACTTGTCTTCATGCAGCAGACGGGCTGAGGCAGGAGGATCACCCATGAGTTCAAGGCCATCCTGGACTACATAATGAGATGGTGTCTCAAAAAAAAGAGAAGGAAGGGAGGGAGAGAGGGAGGGAAGAAGAAAGAAAGACAGACAGGCTTCAACTTCATTACTTAGCTTTTATTTGCATAACTGTAATGCTGCTGAGAAATGTGTATTCTCTTGTTGGATGAAACACCCTGTAGATACCTGTTAAGTCCATTTGTTGAATGGTATGATTTAACCCTGATGATCTTGGCTGATTTTTTTGCCTAAATGACCTAACTGTGAGAGTAGTCCCACATTGTGACTGTATAGCAGTGTATCCACGCTGTAAAGTACTATAACATATAACAGAACATAAAACTACAGTACTTTGCCGGGCATGGTGGCGCACGCCTGTAATCCCAGCACTTGGGAAGCTGAGGCAAGAAGATCATTGCAAATTCGAGGCCAGCCTGGACTACAAAGTGAGCTCAAGGCCAGCCTGAACTGCATAGTGAGACCCTGTCTCAAAAAAAAGACCAAAAAAAAAAAAACTACAGTATTTTATAAACCAAATGTCCTGTACAGAAAAAAAGACATTGAGGCTCTATAAACAAGGTATATTGAACTGTGCAAAAAAGGCAGTCTTAAGTCTGAGTCATAAGTGAAAACAGTCGTTAAATAGGTCGTTAAAGGAGGAATATCTGTAAAAGAATCAGCACTGGGAAAATAATGCAATGACAGAACTAAATAAATACCTTACAATATTAACTTTCGATGTCAGTGGTCTCAAATCCCTAATCAAAAGACACAGACTGGCAGATTGGATCAAAAACAACACAACCATATACTGCCTCTAGAAGAAGCACTTTATCCCAAAGGAGGGCCATAGACTGAAAGTGAAAGCATGAAAATTACACTGCATTTAACAGGAACCCTAAAACAAGCAGAAGTAGCTATCTTACTTTCAGACACATCAGACTTCAGGTCAAAACTGATCAGAAGAGACAAAGAAGCCCATTACATACAGATAAAAGAAGCAATTCAACAGGAAGAGGTAATAATTACAAATATCTATGCAATGAATGTTGATACATCCAGTTTCATAAAACAAAAATCCCTTGACTTAAAGGGATGGGTAGACTCCAGTACAGTCATAATGTGGGACTACTCTCACAATTAGGTCATTCAGGCAGCAAAGATCAAGGTTAAATCACATCATTGAACAAATGGACTTAACAGATATCTACAGAGTGTTTCATCCAACAAGAGAATACACATTTCTCAGTAGCTCACAGAACTCTTTCTAAAAGAGAATAGAATTTAGGTGTAAAGCATGCATAAATACAAAAGTATTGAAATAATCCCCTACATACTATCAGACTGCAGCAGAAGGAAGCTAGAAATGAGCAACAAAAGAAGCCACAGAAACTATGCAGACACAAAGAGATTAAATAATGTTATTAATTAATCAGTGGATCACAAGAAATCAGAAAGCAGTTCTAAGAGGGAAGGTTGTAACTGTAAATGCACACTTAAAGAGAATTAGAGGGCCAGGGATGTAGCTCAGCGGCACAGCACCTGCCTGGCAAGCACGAGGTCCTGAGTTCAATTCCTGGTTCCAAAAATTAAGAAAATAAAGAGAATTAGGGGCTGGGGATTTAGCTCAGCGGCAAAGCGCCTGCCTGGCAAGTGCAAGGTCGTGAGTTCGGTTCCCGGTACCAGAGAAAAACCAAAAAAAAAAAAAAGAAAATAAAGAGAATTAGAGCAATATGAAATAACCCAGTGATGCATCTCAAGATCCTACAAAGACAAGAACAAGTTTGAAACCAGTAGAAAGAGATAAAGATCAGAGCAGAAATTAATGAAGTTGACACTGAAAAACCAATACAAAGGGTCATTGAATTAAGAGTTGGTTCTTCAAAAGGATGGGAAGGGTATCAGAGGATGGGGGAAACAGGAGAGAGGAGAGGGGAATGGGAAGTAAGAGGATTAAGATCAATATATGTACTAGTTCTCCTACAGTGAATGTATTCCTCCATACTGAGTATTTACTGTAAATCACAAAAATACACTAATAAAAAATTCAGAGAGTGGAGAAAAGAAAAAAAAAATCGTGTTCCCTGTCAGTCATTGCCTTTCTACAAAGGGAACTATTGTTTTGACCTCTCACCTCATAGAGTAGTTTTACTTTTTCTTTCTTTCTTTCTTTTTCTTTGTTTCTTTTTTTTTTTTTCCTTTGAGACAGGGTCTCACTATGAAGTTCAGGCTGGTCTTGAACTCACTTTGTAGCCCAGGCTGGCCTTGAACTTGGAGCAATCCTCCTGCTGAGCCTCCCAAGTGCTGGGATTATAGGCATGTGCCACCATGCCCAGCTAGAGTAATTTTTCATGCTGGGCCATTTTTCAACCCTCTTTGACTCTTCTTACCAAAATCCCAAAACAGCATTGTTGGAAGAATCAGATAACAAGGAGATAGTGATATAAAGAGAAAAGTTACAGAATTCCTCTTCACAGATTAGGGCTTGTTGTTGAGGGGAACAAACAGCAAAAATCAGTATTTTATCCATGAAACAAATTTGCTCTTTACCTGAGAGGTAAAGAGGCCTCGTGAGGATTTCTAAGGTTTAGTAACATCAGGAGAGTTAGGGGTGTAGCTCAATGCTAAAGCACTTGGCTAGTGTGTGTAAGGCCCTGGTTTAATTCCCAACACAAGAACGAAAAAATTTCCCTCAAACTTTTGATATGTCTTCCTTCATTGAAACTCATTTCCTTGACCCATCTTTCTTTCATTGTTTTATAGACCTCAAGTCCTATAGAAGAGAACTTTGAAGAAATACAAGGTGCATTTGCACAACCTCAAGGCTATGGTAAGCCCTAGGATTCCTTTGAGGATCTCTTCCCTTCACTTTCTGTTGGATCACAGATGACTTTAGAACTGTCAGGCTTCTTAGAGATCATCTTGTCTCAGCCTTTCATTTTACAGTTGAGAAAGCTGAGGCTCAGTGATCTCTTCTCATTAGAATGAAGCCCCAGCTCCTTACCAGCTTCATGACATTGACATGTTGTGTTAAGTGTACTCCCTCATATTTTCTGTAGCGTACATTGTAAGTACCTGTTTTTTCCACCCTCTAGTCTGGCTAGATTTTAACCTCCTTAGTGACACACAGCAATGGACAGTTAGCTTTCCTGAGCAACCTGCGGAATTTGCTCAAGTCACAAAGCTAGTTACTGAAGAACAAAAACCAGAACTTGGTGTGTCTTTCTCCACCTCAGAAGCCAGAGTTGCACTGTTGTTTTCCTCGTCTTGGTTAGCATCTTTTTTTGTCATGGAGTTAACAGCCAATAGTGCAGATTCAGCTTAACACTGTCACCTGCTGCCCCCGCCCACCACCTTTTGGGGGCCTCTGTTGCTTTGTAACTTTAACAGGAGCTTTCTATTATGTGACAAGTTAACACTAAATCGGGTGTGTCACAAGACAACATGTAAGTGCAGTGTTGATTGTCTTACAGGCATTTTAATGATTGTGTGCCTTTGTTCTTTTCAGGTATGTATCCGTGCTGCTTATTAAACCATAGATACCCACCTAAGTCTGTGTAGACATTTATAGTCATATCTCAGCATTCTGAACACAGATGCATGAGGGTTCTGAACTTACTCCCGTGCTTCCAGTGCATACTCTAGCTTCCAGCTCTAAGGTGATTCAGTTCCCTGCCAGAGTTAGGAGCATTTTAAGAGTCTGCAAGCTTTGGGATGAACAGTTACACTCTCAGGTTATATACTGAAAGTCTCAGCCAGGTGGGGTGGTGCACACCTGTAATCCCAGCACTCAGGAGGCTGAGGCAGGAGGATCGTTGCAAGTTCGAAGCCAGCCTGGGCTGCAAAGTGAGCTCAAGCTCAGCCTGAACTGCGTAGTGAGACCCTGTCTCAAAAAGACAAAAAAAAAAAAAAAAAA